TTCTGGATTTGGTTGGATCACCTTTCTCTGTAATAGGCATAAATATGGATCTCTTCCTGTTGGTTGGCCAGGCAGCTGTCTTCCAAATTTCTTGGCCTAGATAAGTGGGCACTTGCAGTGCTGCATCCATTTGTTGAAACATTTCAACTGGTATTCTGTAAATTCCTGGAGCCTTGTTTTTTGCCAGTGCCTGCAGTGCAGCTTGGACCTCTTCCTTCAGTACCATCGGTTCCTGATCATATGCTGCCTTCTGAAGTGGTTGAACATAGACCAATTCTTTTTGGTAGTAACTCTGTGTATTCCTTTCATCTATTTTTTATACTTCCTGCATAGTATAATATTTTCCCTGTAGAATCCTTCAATATTGAATTCGAAGCTTGAATTTTTTCTTCAGTTCTTTCAGCTTCAGAAATGCTGAGCGTGTTCTTCCCCTTTGGGTTTCTATCTTGAGGTCTTTGCACATGTCGTTATAATACTTTACTTAGTCTTCTCAAGCCACCCTTTGGAATCTTCTGTTCAGCTATTTTACTTCATCATTTCTTCCATTTGTTTTAGCTACTCAGCATTCAAGAGCAAGTTTCAGAGTCTCTTCTGACACCCATTTTGGTCTTTCTCTCCTCTCTTTTTAATGACCTCTTGCTTTCTTCTCGTATGATGTCCTTGATGTCATTTCACAACTCATCTGGTCTTTGGTCATTAATGTTCAATGCGTCAAATCTGTTCTTGAGATGAGCTCTAAATTCAGGTGGGATATACTCAAGGTCATACTTTGGCTCTTGTGGACTTGTTCTAATTTTCTTCAACTTCAACTTGAACTTGCATATGAATAATTGATGGTCTGTTCCACAGTTAGCCTCTGGCCTTGTTCTGACTGATGGTATTGAGCTTTTCCCTCGTCTCTTTCGACAGATGTAGTCAGTTTGATTCCTGTGTATTCCATCTGGTGAGGTCCACGTGTATGGTCGCTATTTATGTTGTTGAAAATAGGTATTTGCAATGAAGAAGTCGTTGGTCTTGGAAAATTCTATCATACATTCTCCGGCATCGTTTCTATCATCAAGGCCATGTTTTTCAACTCCCGATCCTTCTTCTTTGTTTCTGACTTGCACATTCCAATCACCAGTAATTATTAATGCATCATGATTGCATGTTTGATTGGTTTTAGACTTCAGAAGTTGGTAAAAATCTTCAATTTCTTCATCTTTGGCCTTAGTGGTTAGTGTGTAAATTTGATTAATAGTCATATTAGTTGGTCTTCCTTGTAGGTGGATATTATTCTATCACTGACAGCGTTGTACTTCAGGATAGATCTTGAAATGTTCTCTCTGTCAGTGAATGCAACATCATTCCTCTTCAGGTTGCTGTTTCTGGCATAATAGACCATATGATTGTCCGAATCAAAATGTCCAATACCAGTCCATTTCAGCTCACTAACGCCTAGTGTATCAATGTTCATGTGTTCCATTTCAGTTTTGACAATTTCTGATTTTCCTAGATTCATACTTACTACATTCCACGTTCTAATTATTAATGGATGTTTGCAGTTGTTTCTTCTCATTTTGAGTCATGCCACATCAGCAAATGAAGGTCCCAAAAGCTTAACTCCATCCATGTCATTAAGGTCTACTCTATTTTGAGGAGGCAGCCCTTCCCCAGTCATCTTTTGAGTGCCTTCCAACCTGAGGGGCTCATCTTCTGGCACTGTATGAGACAATGTTCTGCTGCTATTTGTAAGGTTTTCACTGGCTAATTCTTTTCAGAATTAGACAGCCAGGTCCTTCTTCCTATTCTATCTTAGTCTGGAAGATCAGCTAAAATCTGTCCACCATGGGTGACCCTGCTGGTATTTGAATACCAGTGGCATGGCTTCAGCATCACAGTAACACACAAGCCCCCACAATACAACAAAGTGACAGATGTGTCATACAGCCGTCTAATTCCCTGAACGACCTATTAGATTGACTTACATCAATAGCATTTACCACAGAGGCAGAAGTTACAAACTTTTCACTAGCTTTAGATCAACTTCAGGATGTAATAGAGTCCTGTCCTGTCCTGAAGCCAGTTCTTGAAATCATTGATAAATGCTGAGATCATTGATACAATGAAATCACTAACTGCTTCTGACATCTCTAGCTCAATCCTAAGTGAGTCCTATGGAACAAAGAGCTCTAAAAAACAAAATTCGGGGAGCCTGTCAGTACTAGCCTCTTCTTGGATAGTCTCAATATCCATTAATGCCTCTGAGATGTAGTGCAATAAAGAAACCTGTTCAGTTTAAACATTTCTTAAATTTACCTCGCTGTGGAACTCTGTTTTTGTTTTTTTGGGTTTTGTTTGTTTTGTTTTGTTTGCTAATACATATTAACATTCTGAGAAGGATGCCTTTGGAAGTACTGCCCCAATCCATGGAGTCTGACAAGCATTAGATGAGAGTATAATCATAGGCCTTGATAAAATACCACACAATTTTCCCAAGTATTGCTTGACTGACAGCATTGGTGATAGTCTCAGACTTGGCCACTCTCTTCTTCTGACTTGACAATGAGGCCCTTGAGGCCAGGGTTGTTCTCTGAGTATGTGGCAGACTCATTCGTGAACAGCCATCAGATGAGTAGCTATGAGTTCCATCAACTGCAACAAAATTCAAATATTGTTAGGTCAAATATCACAGGACAGTAGAAACTGGTGTATTTAGATAGAAATTCTTTGTGACAGCAGATAACTGGAACCTTTTAAATCCATTGTGATCCTGATAACATACCTAAAGGTGAGAGTGTTATTTGAGAAGGTAGGAAGGAAGGAAAAGGATCATTACATTTTTGGGCACTTGGTATCTCATTTCATCTTCTTCATTATCTCATTTGGTTTGTACAGCAGCCCTGTAATTTCAACCCATGCTCTTTTCTTACTAAGCCTATGTTGTCCTTCATCAACTCCTGAGTGTAAAGTACAAGCCAGATTCTTCTGACTCCAGTATCACACACCTCCATAGTTTACTCTTTTTTTGCTAAATCGACTCTTCTGCTTTTCTGAAACCAGTGTGCTTTGCAGGCTCACTGTGTCCAGGACTTCTCTAGAATAAAACGGTGCTTTTGTGAAAACTTGATTCTGAGCTGATGGTCTTTCTTTTGACTCAGCTGAAAATTTTCTAAAGCAGTTGACTGTGTGTTACTGGATTATAAACAGATTTATATTACCACATTCTTTTGTTAAAACTAGTACTCTCAAGTGTGGGAAGCACTATGTTAAACAAAATGGATTTTTGTTTGTTTTTAATAACAACCTTTTAGAGCCAATTTGTACTAAGAATCTTTAAGAGGAGGGTATAGGCACAATTAGCACATGTATTTGATGATCAGAAATCTCTTTTAGAAGAACACTTATTAACATCTTATAGAATATTACTAGGAATTGCTAATTAAATCTGTTAGCCTGCTTATAGTAATTTTTACTTGAGGGGGTTGATTTCTACAATAATAAGGACTTGAGTTATAAAATATTTTGTTAAAATAAAATGGTATAAATAATACCCTCACTTTAATGTGAATTGGTATTCATCAATTGCTGTTGGATGACTCTGGGCAAGGTAGAATGCTGGGCACAATAAAATATGTCTCTGACACAGTACATTTCAAAATGAAAAAACACACATCCAGCTAGATTTTGGTGTAAGTATTGTTCCTATCTCCTATTCAGTTTAAAAATAATAGCCAAGGTAGCCTCTATTAATGTAGATATTTGTGTATTCTGAGTTTTCCATTTTATTTTTATTACATCTTTTATTTCCCTATTCTCATTTCCTATGACACCATATACATTAATTTTTTTTTAGAAAAACTTACTTTACTATCTCATGCTTCATAGATTCTGGCTATAAAAGATACTTCTCATATTGATTTAAAGGTATAATTTTTAGATACTTATTATAATAACGCTTTGTTTTGTTGGATCTTCAGGAAACAGACGTGGTACCAGACACAAGGCTTTTGGACAAGTTTAGTCAGATAACACCTCAGCTCTTTACCTCACCAGATGAGACTGTCCACAGTCCACCACTGGAGACTTTGTGTATTATTGACTTCTTCATTGCATTGGCGATTTGCAACACGGTAGTTGTTTCTGCTCCTAACCAACCACGACAGAAGGTAAAGTCTCTAAGGCAAACAAGAGTCAACTTCCGGAAGTGAACTTTGGGTTTAAATATACTTGTACTAGTCTTGTTATATGGGTAATAATAATGAAATAATAATATTAAAAGCAGGTAATATTTATTCAGCATTTATTATAATTTTCTAAGTGCTTTACCTAAATTAGCATATTTAATCCTCCCAACAACCCCATGGGTTAGATACTGTTACAGATGAAGTTAAGTAACATACTCATGGTCACACTACCAGTTTGTTGGATTTGAGAAGTGGGGTTTGAACTCAGGAAGTCTGGGTCCGAGCTGTTACATTATTTTGCTTCTAGGAGGATAGCTGATGAGAGCAGTCTTGTAGAATGTGGCTTTGTTCATTTTACTTTGGTTTCTTTACCAAATTTGAGCTTTCTTTCAGACTTCTGAGACCAACAACATCATACACTACATCAAACAAAATATAAAGTATTGGTTTCTTTTAGATAATTCCTTCTTCATGTACAAATTGGGTTAGTTTTAACTCCATCAATCTAAAGTCCAGTACATCTATAATATACCAACGTTCTGCAGTTCCCACAAAAGCTAGATTTTTTAATCATATTTGTAGCTTAGAATTCATGGAAAATTCATTTCCAATTAAGAAGGAAAACTTGTTTTCGAGACTTATGATTCACCACTTGCTGTGGTAGTTTCCTTGTGTATAACTATCTCCCCCTTTGCACACATCCACTTAAAATTCAATTTGCAGCACAACCCGTATAAATTTTAATTTTCCATGAGATCATTTTCTTTTGTCGGCTTCAAACGTGGTCAGCTTTAGCTCGAAAATACTTTACTTCTAATTAAGCTTCATTTGATCGGAAACTGTAGTTTTATGTTTCAACTATAAAGTTGATCTTTGAAAAGTGATTGTGTATTTAGAGAATAAATCACTGGATTCTCTTTTTTCCCCATCATAATATTTTTCTCACACATGCTTTTCGAAAGTAAACATCCTTTGGTGTCTTCTGTTTAAGGAATGCTCTTGCCTTATCCCCAAGGAAATTCTATTGCCTGAAAGAAAAATCTGTGTAGGCGTATAAAAGCCTAAGCTTCGTGACATTTCAAGGTAACAATAGAAAGGTAGTGAATAAGAAGCTAAACAAAATACATGTGGAATACAGAAACCTCATCGGAGACTGAATTTCACTCTTCTTTTCATATCAGAGATGGCAATAAGTTTGAAAATTAATCAGCACGAGTCCTTCCAAATAATACTCATTATAAAATTAGTATTAGGAGAAAACTTTTATAATTCCTTGGACATTTCTGAATGGGAAAATTTTAGGTTGCAATTAATGAGTCTTCCACAATTAGTGTTAAATTCCAAGTTTAATCACTAATAAAAGTTAACATCTAGAAGAAAGCAGGTTATGAACAAGAAAAAGTTCTATAAAAATGGAAACTCAAATTCACATTATGATGATGATAACTCTTCTTCCTTAAGCTACTTTTGCTTACAGGCCTGTTTAAAAAATCAAAAACAGCCTTTTGTGGAATTTGGGGAATAAAAGAGAAAAATATATTTTGTTAACCTTTTGATTTACTTTCAACGGTTAAGCATTTGGCTGTTAACCAAAAGTTTGGCGGTTCGAATCCACCAGCCACTCGTTGGAAACCCTATGGGGTAGTTCCACTCTGTCCTATAGGGTTGCTGTGAGTTAGAATCAACTCAATGGCAATGGGTTAGGTTTTTGGGTTTTCTTCCAGTGTTACTTCACATAATTATTTTAACTTATTTGTTCTTATGTTGTTGATACAGTTTTTATAGCTTTTTCAGTATTACCCCATAGCCTTTATAAACTTTATTTTAAAATATATAACATTTGAAGATGTTTCTGTTTTGCTATTATTGAATACTTAATTTGCTTATAATTTTTAACTTATTATTAGAACACACAGAGTAAATAACCATTATGGATTTTCCAAAATTTAAATTGTTTCCTTAGGAAAAATTGTTACAAAGATTCCCCTAGGGTCAAATGATCTTAACATTTTATGTCTTATTGCAATCAGAAGTTGCTATGAATTTCTTTCCTAAATGTTTGTAGAAATTTATAATATCATCGACATTAGCAGATCTTTTTTTATCATGGCTACTTTTATTTTTATAAATGTTTTCTGTGGCAATTGTAAGTAATTTGAGTATCTAATTTTTTCCCAGTTTGACTGTGAAGTTGTTATAAACTTCTTTTGACTGTATTATTGAGACCTTCATAAATTATCTTTCGTAGATAAGACTCTCATCACTGAGTGGAATGCCCATCAAGTCCTTGGAAGAGATTAAAAATCTCTTCCAGCGATTGTCTGTCCGAAGATCAAGTTCACCATCTCTTGCCCGTGGGAAAGAGCCATCTTCTGGAGTTCCAAATGCCTTTGTGAACAGACTCTCTCTCTTTAGTCGAATGAAACTGGCTTCACCTGTGGAGGAAGAAGGCTCCCAGATGAGTGAGAACCCGCAGTGCTCTAGTAGCTCAGCTTGCTATGAAGAAGTAGAGAAACAAAACAGTGACACAGGCATCAGCATTGGCAAGGTGGACTCCCTCCCTGGACAGCCCTTGGTCTCGGGCCTGTGTTATGAGGCCGAGAGCCCAGATGAAGCGGCCTTAGTGTATGCTGCCAGAGCTTACCAATGCACTTTACAGTCCAGGACTCCAGAGCAGGTCGTGGTGGACTTTGCTGCTTTGGGACCATTAACATTTCAACTCCTACACATCCTGCCCTTTGACTCTGTAAGAAAAAGAATGTCTGTTGTGGTCCGGCACCCCCTTTCCAACCAAATTGTGGTGTATACGAAGGGTGCTGATTCTGTAATAATGGAGTTGCTCTCCATGGCTTCACCAGGTGGGTGCATACAGAGCTGAGACGGTAGTGATATGGAGGGCTCTGAGATTAAAAGGCCACTCTCAATGGTTTTATAAAGGCAAAGAAGCAGATATTTGGGAATCAGTCACACCTGGTAAAGTACTTGGTGGAAAAACATATAAGCTTTGTGGATGTACAGACCTGGGTTCAAATCTGTCATTAGCTAGGTTTTGATAAAGTTACCTGACTATTCTGTGCCTGACTCATTTTCTATAAAGTGGGGATTATAGTACCTCTTTCATAGGGTCTTGGGAGGTTTACATTAAAGGTTTAAAAATATGCAGTGTATGTCAAATCTTTGGCCAAGTGCCTAGAAAATAGTAACCAAAAAAAAACCAAACCCGTTGCAGTCAATTCTGACTCATAGCAACCCTATACGGCAGAGTAGAACTGTCACACAGGGTTTCCAAGGAGCGGCTGGTGGATTCGAACTGCTGACCTTTTGGTTAGCAGCCGAGCTCTTAACCACTGCACCACCAGGTAAGTGCTCAATAAATGACAGCTAACATTATTATTGTTACTATTACTCTTATTATTAATGGTGTGGGAACTGTGTGTGAATTAAGTTCTTGGTGATTTCCTCTCCCCAAGGGGAAAGCAACAAGGGAAAGATTTATTCTGAGGGGGTCCCTCCCCAAAACTAAAAGGTTTTTTGTTTGTTGTGGGTTAAACTATCATTGTTTTTAAAGATACGTCTGTAATACGACAGACTGCTGAGGATACTTGTGTTTTGTTAATTATTTCAGATGGGGCAAGTCTGGAAGAGCAACAGATGATAATAAGAGAAAAAACCCAGAAACACTTGGATGACTATGCCAAACGAGGCCTCCGCACTTTATGTATAGCAAAGAAGGTGAGGCCGCTTAGTACACCCATCTGTTTTGTTCTTTCACTCATGTGACCATTTACTGAAAACTAGCATGTATCAAACCCTCATCTAGGCACTGGGGAAAGTCCTCTGTTCAATATCTTGGTTGTTTAAAGTTTGTCTTCAAAGTGTTTTGCCGGAAGAATGCCTAAGAAGTATAGTCTCTGAGTTCTTTCATGTTTCATTATTTATCTGCTAGTGCCTTTGAATGGGAACAGCAGTTTGGCTGGGAACAAAAATCCCTGGATCCTACTTTCTTTTCCCAAGGACTTTGAGAATATTGCTCCTCTGTCCTACAGCATTAAATATACTCTGGAAAAAGTAAGGTCAGAGACTGGCCTGGATTTTCCTCGTATAAGTTCTTGATTTATTATCCCTAGGTGCCCATAAGAGTCTTTGTCTGTAAATCCAGGTAAATGTACTATGATATTATCTCAGTACTAGTGATTATTCTCTATTGTGTTTTCTTGGGACAGAGTGTATTCTTTCTAAATAAAAATTTAAGTAGTAAGAAAGAAAACACAGCTTCTAAAGACATGATTTGAGAGAGACATGTTATTACCAGAACTACTCCTGAAGGCATGAGAGAAACAGAGATGGAGATGTTTAAGAGTGAATTGGTCAAGTTTGTTGTGCCACTTGTCTGATGAAGTGTGGCTAAGGTACTGACCAAGTCAAACTGCTCAGCTGCAATGAGGCTGTACACGCCCTCACACCCCCATAGGGTCCTCTCTCATTGATAAGCCAGAACTTCCCCAGCTCCATCCTACAAGCATGACCACAGCCACCTTTCCAACTGCATACCTGGACAGCATGTTTCTTCCTTCACTACAAATCTGTTATCCCATTGTATTTCAAAATAAGGCAGGGAACAGCAGAAGGAGGAGGAAAGTCAGCTTAGGGGAAAGAGTGTAGTAAGGGCTAGTGCAAGAGAAGTATGTGCTTATGGGGAGAGAAGAAAGTTAATTATAAACTATAACAGGGACTCTAGTGAACACTGAAGGGCTAGACACAAAGAACAACCAGCCTACGTAGAAAAAATACTGGAGGAGAACCAAAGAAGTTACTCCATCCACCTATCTTCCTCTTCTCCACATCTCACCCACCCCTGTCTCATTCTCCCCCTCCCTGGCTCTGAGCGCTACAGTTGATTTATGCTGTTTTAGAAGTCAGAGCATCCATTTTCTCTCTTCCATCCTGAATTCTAACCAGTAAAGAAGATAAGGAGAGGACTTCACTCAGCAGTTAAATCCAGAGTGACTCTAGACGTGTGAAGGGGGTATCAGGACTGTTCAGTTTGAGGGATTCTGTAGCCAGCAGCACATTCATTTTAAAAGGCATTCACCAGTGCCTTTTAAAAAAATTGCTCTAATATGAGGTTCTGCCTACCCTCTGGTCTGATCTCCACCCAGCTTCAATCCCTTCCATTCTGCTTTCCACTTCAGTGAACGAGACTTCATTGTCAGGGTGAATACACAGAGATCAAAGTATCAATGCTGTTAATAGCCGTCCAGTAATGCCCAAACTACAGGGCTCGTTGGAAAGATGAATTGAAGATTATTGCTGGGACCTAAAATCAAACTGGGGACCTCTCATTGCCTTTCCGAATTCTAGTTCTTAGGAGTTTCATTTGGGTAGAGTGGGGTCTATTGAAGACCCCGAGACACTCCGTTAACTGCATGGAAGATCAACCTGCCTCGCACACCTAGTCATAGGAATGATGGGAAACAGATACTCTGATCTTTCAGTGACATGCTTCTTCCCCTGATAAAAATGGATATCAGACAAGAATAAATAGGTGGAGAAATTGCCTAAACTCCTTCACCCTATCCTACTTTGTAAGAATTGAAATGTAGATTTCTCCTTCTATGACAACCTGAAGACAAAAAAATGTATCACTGGTTCCTTGTTTAGGGACTCCTTGTTATTAGTCCACTTAATTTTTGTTGTAAACAATTTTCTAGCTTCACCTGTGTAGCCCTCCTCGTTCTCTTTTTGCCTCTGATGAATGATTAACCACATAAACTGTCAAAAGATATCAAAGGTGCTGCTGGCTACAGAATCCCTCAACCTGACAGGTCCTGACACCACCTTCTCACAGCACCTCTAGAGTCACTCTGGATTTAACTGCCGAGGGGAGTCCTTTCCCACCTGCATACTCCCAGGCTTAATTGAATGGATTAACCTACTTTCACCATATGTGCTGCCTATAATTTCCAGGAGATTTTGCCATCAGTGTTACACAAGTCTAATTACAGAGTTTGGGAGGGTTGTGACCAGGTGATATGAGGATCGGAACCTGGCATGAGCATGCCCACAGGGAGGAATACCTAAAACAAGTGGAAGACTTAATGTTTTGCCCTGGGAGAGTCCTGGGAAAATCCTTTAAGATCGTACAGACTGCCTCAGAGTTCTTATTTTCTTCCACCATAGGTCATGAGTGACAGTGAATATGCGGAGTGGCTGAAGAATCATTTTTTAGCTGAAACCAGCATTGACAACAGGGAAGAATTACTGTTTGAATCTGCCATGAGGTTGGAGAACAAACTAACCCTACTTGGTAGGTAGACTATGCTATACTCTCTAAATGGAGAATTTTAAAAAATACTGTATGTCTCTACATAAGGTATTCACCAGTGCCTTTGAAAAAAAATTGCTCTAATGTAGGGTTCTGCCTACCCTTCTGGTCTGATCTCTACCCAGCTTCAATCCCTTCCATTGTGCTTTCCAGTGCATTGAACTAGGCTTCATCGTCACGATGAAGATCTATTAATATGTCAATACTTAACATAGAGTCCAAAGCCAAATAAATATCCTTGTTCAAGAGAAGAAAGCTAAAGGTTCTTGCCAGGCGTTGGATAAGGTACTTAACATGCATTGTCTTTTTTAATCTTCAGAGCTAATCTCCGTTTTTTTAGCCCAAGCTGGGGTACAGAGTGGTTCAATGACTTGTTCAGTTCAAAGTTGCGTGTTAATAACTGAGACAGTTAGGTCTACCTGATTTCAGGGTCCATGCCCTTTATTCTGCACCTGCTACTGGACGGTAAAACTTATTTCTCATCTCTTGCTGATTTCAGTTAAGGGCTGCACAGCTAACACGTCTTGGCTCAGGCTTGGTTGCACATTAGAATCATCTGGAGAGCTTTAAAAACTACTGATACTTGAATCCTCTTCCCAAAGATTCTGATTTACTTGGTGTAGGTTATGGCCCGGGCACTGGAATTTTTAAAAGCTCCCATGTAATTCTAAGGGGTTGCCAAAGTTGAGAAGCACTGCCTTAGAGTCAGGAGAAGGAGAAAAACAATTATCTAACTTAGTATCTAGCAAATAGAGTAGTGATGTGTACTCCGAATTAATTTCTCTGTGATGGTATAAGTAGTATAGGTCCACATTTCCTCATCTGTAATTCCAAAATCAAAAATGCTCTTGTGGGTTTAGTGCCAAACTTATTTGGCAGCAAAGTCAAGCCTGGTTTGGCATAAGGCTATTTATAGGCTGTATTATCCTACTTAGTGTGAACATTTGTAAGGTTTACTACAGAAATGTTAATATACTTGATTTACAGGTTTTATGAAATGAGGCATATGTGTCATATTACTTTTTTAAAATCTGAAAAACTTGAATTATGAAACAAATCTGGCACCTAGTGTTTTGGAAAAGGGAATTATGGACCTATGTTATGAAAGAGGATTGTAAATAGACGTTATATCTTACGGCAAGAGCATTCTTTAAAAACCTCCCTTACCCTTGGGGATGGAATCATAGGATTATATAATTTTAGACAAGATTACATAAATGACTGAATCAAATGCCCTCAATTTAAGAAAAGGATGCTAGTCAAAAAGAAAACAAGTAAATTTAATAAACTCATTGGTTCCTGAGGCTTCTTTTCAAAATATCACTTTATATATGACTTTTGTCTTGACACTGGTCTAGGATCTGTAGATGCTACTGGAGCAGTTTGTATGGTTCACAGTTGTATTGGCTAGAACAGATAAAAGATTCAGTTATAACCTAGTTGGATTTTGGTTTCTTACTTGCAAGTCCTATTGTACGTTGTTTATATTATAGGTGCTACTGGCATTGAAGACCGCCTACAGGAGGGAGTCCCTGAGTCTATAGAAGCCCTTCAAAAAGCCGGCATCAAGATCTGGATGCTGACAGGGGACAAGCAGGAGACAGCTGTCAACATAGCTTATGCATGCAAACTGCTGGAGACAGATGACAAGCTCTTTATCCTCAATACCCAAAGTAAAGTAAGTATAATGAGATGAAACCAGTCCTTCTGTTTTTGCAAAGCAAATGGACCCTTTGAGACTTGGTTTCTGCAAGAGGAAAGAAAAAACAATAACCACTAGCTTCGTGGTAATTATTTATTCTATCCAGCAACTTTGCTTATGCTTGGGAGGGTGCCATGCATAGTTCTTTTAAAGGCTTAGCAGAAAATAATAATGATTCAGGGGAATCATTGCTGAAAAAAAGCATTTGTTTTTATTTATTTGCATTTTTTTCCTTCATATTTACTCACTTGGATTAGCAGGGTCTTGGCAAGACTTAGCCCATAATGACAAAATACAACAAGTCTTGAGACAAGAATCTACCTCCCTTTCAATTTGAGAGGAAGTGGTGATTTCTGTTGAAATCAGGGGAATAAATTAAATTTTTTTATGGTAATTTTTAAAATAGGCTTGCAGGATAATAATGCCCTCTAGTGGTAATTCTTAACTAGTGCTCCTGAGAATATCAAAAGTTTGAAGAGTTGTGTTTGAGGTAAGAGGTGGGGGCGGGGGGTGGATATACAATATGGATGTAAAAAACTCAAACCAAACCTGTTGCCGTCGAGTCTATTCTGACTCGTAGCAACCCTACAGGACAGAGAGGAACTGCCCTATAGGGTTTCCAAGAATCAGCTGGTGGATTCAAACTGCCGACCTTTTGTTGGCAGCCAAGCTCTGAACCACTGTGCCACCAGGGCACCTAATATGACTATACATGGATACATAGATGTGTGTGCCTGTGTGTGTGTGTGTTTTAAGGAGAAGATATTTTAAAAGGTTTGGACTCAGCCTGTTTTTCCAATTTTGCCTCCCACTAACTTTCAACACATTCTGATCAGTTAGATAGGCATCTCATTTTTCTCAGAACATTCCTAGTATAGTGATAAACCAAAACACCAAAACCATTGCCATCAAGTGGATTCCAACACATAGCAAACCTGTGGACAGAGTAAACCTGCCCCAGATGGTTTCCAAGGAATGGCTGGGGGATTCGAACTGCCAGCCTTTTGGATAGCATCCAGCCTCTTAACCACTGCACCACCACCATCCAAATATTTATGCGTATTATTTTGCCTTCCTCTCTCCTTCCTCGTTAGTCATACCTAACCATGTTTCAGACCTCAGTAACATCAATTCCTGCATGGAATCTGTCTCCTGTAAAATCCTCTTCAGCTTCACATCTGGACCATATCTTGGGCATTTGTCACAGACTGCCATGTTTGATTAGCCATGTTTTTATGGCAGGCCTCAGCATCCCTGGGTAGTACAAACAGTTAAGCACTCAGCGGCTAACTGAAAGGTTAGTGGTTTGAGTCCACCTAACGGTACCTTGAAAGAAATGCGTGGTGATCTACTTCCAAAAAATCAGCCATTGAGAACTCTATGGAACACAGTTCTACTCTGACACACATGAGGTCATCATGAGTCAGAATTGAAAGCAACTGGTCTAGTTTTTTGTTTGTTTTTTAGTCTACCTAAATAGGCTGTATGCTTTAAGGAAAGAGAGTTTTACTTATTCACAGAGTGAGTTCCCAAAGCTGCTGGCAGTGGCCCGGCAACCCAATAACTACAACCTCCAGCCAACTCTAGCACCATGAAAGGGCTAAGCAGAAGAAAATGCTTAGCCACTTTAGTCACTCAATCGGACATGCCCAAATTAATGGTGAGGTCAGGGTTCAAATACTTGGCCAACCATTGTCCAGGACTGTGACCTTGGGAAGTTACTTATCCTCCCGCCTCCTTTTCTTTACCTGTAATGTGGGAGTAATGCCTATTTCATAGGATTGTTTTGGGCATTAAAGGAGAAAATATAAATTGTTTAATATGGTGCTTGGCATATGGGAGAGGTTCAGTGAACATTAAAAAGGAAAAGAAAGAATCAATTCTTGGTGTCTGATTTTGACTTAAAGAGTTTTTGTGAATAGTAAAATCATTAGGACTGTAAAATGTATTGGTTAAGTATACAGTTTATATTTAAAGGCAGTTAAAACTACCAGCTCAAGAAGTTATTTACTGAGTATCCATTGTGGACTGTTCTACATGTAAAAGATGTTATGTATTTGCTATCAGCAGCCATTCCATCTGTGTGGTTTCTCATACAACTAAATAGAATACGATGAACATAATTTTGTTTTATGATGACTCATGTTCATGCATGTAAAATGCCAGGCACGTAGTTGGGGCTAGTAGAGGCCCACTGACCGATATTTCCTTTCCCTTTTTTCTACCCCATCCCCTCACCCTTTAGAGAGACGCTAAGCAATACTAAGGACTTAGAGATCCTGGAGCTTTATTTCTCGTTTAATGAAGCAATTACTCCTATCATGTTCTAAGTGGTCCAACTGGCAGTCGATGGGATGTCTAAAGTCCTTTCTGTCATGTAGTATCTCAGCTTTACAAATTCCCACCGTCTTTTGCTCCTAACTTTGCAAATTGGTTTAAAATAAACGTAGCCACTTACAAACCCTGCATAGTTAAAATTCTTATGAAAGTTTTATTTCTTGATTTGTTTTAATACAATCATATCCTAAATTATTTACTGCATTCTGATATATAAAATACTTCAGGATTTATCATTTAATTTTTTAAGCTTTATTTTCCTAGTTCCATTTAAATGTTTCCTGAAATTAGTAACTGTATATTGTTTATTAGTGGTCCAGAAGGCTTTTTCATACATGATCTAATTTGCCAATGATAACAAGTAGACAGAGCAGATAAAATTATTCCCCATTTTATAGATTGAGAGCCTGAGATTCTAAAAAGCTGCGATTTGTCTGAGAGCCTACAGCTGATTACTCTTCAAGCTTGGGATAAATTTTCAATTTTGTGACTTCTATTTCAGTATATTTTCTATATTGTTGTATTAATTCTATAATGAAAATATAGTTAATTTATGAAAACTAGACACATGCATTTACAAATAAATAAGAGAATAAAAACATCTGTAAACACAAAGCCACAGATAATTTGCATTCATATTTTAGAGAGTATCCACCCAGGCTATATTCTGTGCACTATAAGCATATGAACACTACAAAGACTGTATTTATAGTACTGTGTTATATAGTATATCTTAGTATTATAGTACATCCTTAGAAGCAAAGATGGCGAGACTGTCTTACATACTTTGGACATGTTATCAGGAGGGACCAGTCCCTACAGAAGGACATCATGCTTGGTAAAGTAGAGACTCAGCAAAAAAGAGGAAGACCCTAAACAAGATGGATTGACACAGTGACCGCAACAATGCACTCAAGCATAACAGCGATTGTTTGAATGGTGCAGGACTGGGCAGTGTTTCGTTTTGTTGTACATAGGATCACTATGGGTCAGAACCCACTCAACAGCACCCAACAGCAACATTATATAGTAATATATAATATTGTAACTGTATTTTTTTCACTTAATAATATATGTTTTTAACACTGTCCCTTGTAAATATTGTAATTGGGTGCCACTGAGTCAGTCTCAACTCATAGTGACCCCATGTGACAGAGTAGAGCTGCCCCATAGGGTTTTCTAGGCTGTAATCTTTACAGGAGCAGATCACCAGGTCTTTCTCCTGTGGAGTCACTGGGTGGGTTTAAACTATCAATCTTTTGGTTAGCAGCTGAGCACTTAACCATTGCATCACCAGGGCTCCTTCCTCTTATAAATAGACAATTTAATAGACATCTTGCTTTTCAGTGACTGCAGAGTATTTTAATTTATAAATTTACCATTTTAATTTAACCAAACCCCAGTAGGCTTTTAAAAATAAATTTTTACTCTTATATATTGAGCCTATAATGAGCCTTTTTGGTTCATCTTTGTATGCTTTTCCCTCGGTGCTTTTGAGGTATATAGGATCATTTGTTCCTAAGAAAAAAGTTGCCAAGTAGCTCCATTTAAAATTTGAGACTCTTGTTTAGAGTCTACATGGTTGTCTTAGTTATCTAGTGCTGCTATAACATAAATAACACAAGTGGGTGGCTTTAACAAACAGAAATCTATTTTCTCACAGTTTAGGAGGCTAGATGTCCAAATTCAGGGCACTGGCTCTAGGGGAAGGCTTTCTGTCTCTGTTGGCTCTGAAGGAAGGTCCTTGTCTCTTCTGAGCTCCTGCTCCTGGACCATCTTCATTGACTTGGCATCTCACTTCCCCTGTCTCTGCTTCTCTTGCTTGCTTGTTTAATCTCTTTTATATCTCAAAAGAGATTGACTTAAAACACACCCTGCACTAATCTTGTCTCATTAACATAACAAAGACAACCCATCTCCAAATGGGATTATAACCACAGGCATAGAGGTTAGCATTTACAACACATATTTTTGGGGGGCACAATTCAATCCATAATAATGGTTATTAAGTCTTCGTTGTGCCATGCCTACATATATGTATCCACTCTTTCCTTAACCCTTTTATTCTGTTGTAAACTGAGAAATGCTTGATAAAACAGAATTTAAAATAAGAGTAAATGGACTCTGAGTAATGGACTCTTTCATGAATAAAGTATTTCGGACTTAGTGTGTAAAATTAAATTTTTGCTCCTGGATATATTAGTTCCTCCTTAGTGGTCATTTACAGAATAATTTCTGGATAAGCATATTGTTAATCTTCTTGAGTAGAACTCATTCAACAACCATGTATTAGATGCCTGCTATGACACTGTTTTGGACATTACAAAGGCTTCGTAGATAAATTAAAAGTATTATTTACCTTTAAAGAACTTACTAACTAAGGTGGAGTGAGGAGAATGGAGGTATGTACACAAACCAAATAGGATAAGCACCACTAAGAATATATCTAGATCAGCATGTACACTCCATGAGGGCAGGAATTTCTGTGTTCATTGACATTCCCTAGGACCTCGAATTGTTCCTAATATATAGTAGGTTCTCAATAAATACTTAGTGAATGAATGAATGCATAATGTATTGAGTCAAAGAGAAGATAAAATCAGTAATTATTATTTTAAATATCTGTTATTGTCATGCCTTATACTAGGAACTTGGCATATTACATTATTTCACTTATTCCTCACAAAAAAAGTGTTATGCTGAAGATAATATTCCCATTTTTCAGATGAGAAAATTAAAACTCAAAGAGGTTACATAATTTGCCTAAGGTCAAGCATCTAATAAATGGTAGAATGAGACCAAAGGGCTTTTGAGATTCATTGTTTGAAAAGGCAACAGTGCACATATAAAGAAGAAATTCTCCAGCTATTTCTTAGCTGTAAAATTGAAGAGGACATCCTTTTAACCCATCCCTATATACACACAGAACTCCCTGTGGAAGGGCTGTGAGGTCTTTGAAAGTAACAGAATATTTATTCCCTGGAGTTGCCTTGATGCAGCAATTGCTAAAGAATGAAAATGACCAATATAGGTGGATGTTGTCACCACAGGAGCCCCAAAGGCTGACTGTCTTTGCCTACTGTTTCAAGGATGCCTGTGAGATGCTGATGAGCACAATTTTGAAAGAACTTCAGAAGAATAATCATACTTCTCCAGAGCAAGTACCCTTAAGTGAGGATTTATGCCAACCTCCTGTCCACCAGCACTTGGGGCTCCGAGCCGGACTTGTTATCACTGGGAAGACCCTAGAGTTTGCCCTGCAGGAGAGTCTTCAAAGGCAGTTCCTGGAGCTGACTGCTTGGTGTCAAGCTGTGGTCTGCTGCCGAGCTACACCCCTGCAGAAAAGTGAGGTGGTAAAATTGGTGCGCAACCATCTCCGAGTGATGACCTTGGCCATTGGTGAGTAGAGATGGGACCACACTCTGTGCTTCTCCTTTTCACACCAAACCAGGGGAAAATCCTTCTGTCTGTCCTTTTGTCTGTACATCTGTCTGTCTTTCTTGACTCCCTTCCTCCCTTACTTTACCTTTTTCTCTTCCCTCCTTTCATTGCCTTCTTCTTTTCCCTCCATCACCTGTTTGACCTGCTATGAACCAGGTAGTAGGGATGTGACACAGAAAACAATATAACAGAATTATTTCGGTTATATATCAGAACCCCACCTCAACTGGCTTAAGTAGGGTAATGTACTGACTCACAGAACTGAAGAATCCAGGAGTTCTAGCTTTAGGAAAGTTGAATCTGGGGACATGAACAATTCTTTTATTTATCCATCCAGTATGTATTTCAGTGCCTTCTAAGTACTAGGCATTTTTCTAAGCAATGGAGATGCAAGAGTATATAAAACTGACAGAGTGGCTTTTCTTATGAAACTTACGTTCTAGTGGGGAGGGAACATTCAGTAGAACAATCAAACAAATGAAAAGATAAATATATAGCTTATCAGATAGTGAGAAATGCTATTGAGAAAAACAAAGCAGGGTTATGGGGTTGTGCAAGGTTAGGGATGGGAAGGATACTACTAGTATAAATATGGATTTTAGAGACTGTCTCATTGATAAGGTTGTATGTAAGCAGAGATGAAGGAAATGAGGAGGGATGGATCCATGGGTGAGTGATTTGAGGGGAGAACATTCCTGGCAGAGTGGACAGTGAAAGTAACATCTATGAGGTGGACTGTGCTTGGTGTGTCCAAGGCCAGAGCAGATTGAGGGAGGGAAAGAGATTTTTGCAAGTTAGTGAGGATCATAGAGGTGGCAGGTGGCCAGATCATGTAGGGTCTTAGAGGCCATTATACAATTTTGGCTCTTACCTAAGAGAGATAGAGAGGCATTGGAGGATTTTGAACAGAGAAGGAACATGCTCTGCCTTAGGTTTAAAAGAATCACTTTACCTAACCCTAACCCTTACCCCAGAGTTAACCATAACCCCAACCATAACCATAACCCTGACCCCAGACCTAACCCTACCCCTAACACTAACCATTACTGTAGCCCTAACCCCAACCCAGTAGTAGCGCTAACCCTAAACTTAAACCTAACCTTAATTCTAACACTGAACTTAACCATATTCCTAACATTAAACTGAGCCCTAATGCTAAAACAAACCCTAACCCTGACTGTACCTCCAAACCTAACCAGAGCTCTAATGCTAATCCTAACTGTAGCCAAAAAAAAAAAAGAAGGATCACTTTGGCTGGGTGTTGAGAGGCTGTGGGTTGGGGTGCAAGGACATAAGTAAGGAAATCAATTTGGAGACTATTAAAATAATTACGAGATGGTGCCTTGAGCCTAGATAGTAGCAGTAGAGGTGGTACAATATGGTCAGGTAATGAACTTGTTTTGAAGGAGGAGCTAGTGACATTTGCTGATGAATTAGATACATTATATGAGAGAGTTGTTAAAAATAACACCAAGTTTTGTCTGAGAACAGAAAGGAGGGAGCTGCCACGTATCAAGATGGAGGAGGGGGAATCAGGAGTTGGGTGCTGCACTTGTTAAGTTTGAAAAGCCTAAGTGGCTAAGTGATCCTATTCAGTAGACAGCTGGGTATAAACATCTGCCATTTGGAAATGTGGAATTGGCTAGAGATACAAATTTTGGAGTTTTAAGTCTAATGATGATATTTAAAGTCTTGATATTAGATGGGATCACTGAAAAATGAGTATAAATGAGAAGAGCCATTTAAGGCTTGAGACACTCCAATATTTAGAGTTTAGCAAGATGTGGGCCCAGTTGTATCTTTCAGTCTCTGTTTTCCCCTAGATTTCTTCCAGTCTCAAACAGCCTCTCCCTCGTACTGGTGATGTAGCTACTGAAAAGTCCCAGCTTACATCTTCTCCCATTAGCAACCTCAGGGAAAACGTTAACACTTCTTTTTAGGTTGCTATAGTAAAATACCAGAATTAGAGTTCAATTTTGCTTAATTATTTTGTTGAATGAACATATAAATGAATGAGTTGTTCAAGCCCCTGGATCCAAGTGTTCCTGAAGGTAGAACCCCTGGACTTTTCAATTATATTAATTAAATTGAGTCATGTGTCCATCCCTGAATCAATCATTGAGGCCGGGAACAGAAGATGCTGATTGGGAGGTCTGGACTGAATGCCCACCTGTAAATTTGGCGGTTTGGCTTCACCCTAACAAACTACATGGGTCCAGAGTACCCAAGGAAAACCAAGGTACAGTTCCCAGAAAGCAGGCAAGTGGTTGGCGAGTAGTTGGAAACAACAAATGCCTGTTACCAGCCGGAATGTAGTACCTCCTTTTAAGAAGTTTCCAATGTGTGGGAGAGACCAATAAATCTATATGTAACCATAATACGTTATGATAGAGATACACACGGGGTGGTGCTGGAGCCTAAGGAAGGGGCATCTGATCTCTTCTTGAGGGATGTGGGAAGGTTTCCCAAAGGAAGTGACATCTAAACAGAGAGCAAGAGCAATTGAAATCCAGCCAGGTTGGGTGGGGGTGATGAGGACAGTGTTATGAGAATAGAGAAGAGCATGTGCAATGGCTAGAAGGAACAGGGTACATTTGGAGAACTGAAAGTAAAGTGGATGGCATGGAAAAAGGAGAGATTAGTCCGGGTAGGTACCGTAGCATGAAGGACTTTAAAGCAGTCTTAAGGAGTTTGGACTTTTTCCTGATATCAGTGGGAAGCCACAGTCCATTCTTGCTTAACTAGCTTCCAGGTAATTTGGAGAAAAGGGAAAAATTTTGAAGGATTTGTTTGTTTGTTTTAGTGGCCACTATTGATTTGCAAAGTTTACCACCCTTTCTTCACCTCTTGTTCTGTTGTACGTCTCTGTGAGTTGGATCTGACTTGACAACACCTAACAACAACAACAACCTTACCCCTCATTATGTTTCTCTTGCCATTTTTTCCTATCTTATAAAGGTGATGGTGCCAATGATGTTAGTATGATACAAGTGGCAGATATCGGAATAGGGATCTCAGGTCAAGAAGGCATGCAGGTGAGTGAATATTGTGCACCCAAGGACTATGACCTTGACCTGCCCCTCTATGATGGTTATGTGTCAACTTGGCTAGGCCATGATTCTCAGTGGTTTGGCAGATATTGTGTAATCATCCTCCATTTTGTGATCTGATGTGAGAGGTCAGTCAGTTGAAAGCCAATCAGTTGAAAGCCAATCAGTTTCCTTGGAGGTTTGGCCTGCATCCAGTATATATGGATGTTCTGGCAAGGCTCTCTCTGGATCCTGCATCCGACTTGTCATCCTCTGAACTCTGGTTCTTGGGACGTGAGCCAGCAGCCTGCCACCTGACCTGCCGATTTTGGGTTCGTCAGCTCCTGCAAACATGTGAGTCAGGAGAAGCCTCCAGCCTGTTGCCTGATCCATAGATTTGGGACTTGCCAGCCTACACAACTGTGGGAGCCATTTCCTTGAGATAAATCTCTCTATATATAATTATTATATGTATGCTTCACTGGTTTTAGTCCTCTAGAGAACCTAGCCAAGGGCTTGGCTTATTCTCCGTGATAAGATCTCTGCAGTAGAGTGAGGCTGACTGCAGATAGCCCAGGATTGGGAGGCAGGAAGTTTATCTGTTCATCCATCGGTTATTTACTGAGTGCGTATTATGTGCCTGGAGCTCTGGAGGTGCAGTGGTTAAGTGTTTGGCTGTGAACCAAATGGTCAGCAGTTTGAATCCACCAGCTGCTCCTTGGAAAACCTATGGGGCAGTTTTACTCTGTCCTATGGAGTTGCTATGAGTTAGAATTGATTCAACAGCAATGGGTTTTTGGATTATGTGCCTAGTATCTTCCTGGCTAATTTTGGGTGTGTTGTTCACTTGTTCGGTTTAAAAACTAGAGCCTATCTGCATCATAGGAATGCATATTTTTAGCCCTGCAGTATCTATGTAAATTCTTACACTGAAAAAAGCTACTAAGGATTTGAATAAAGAACCTAACAGTATTGAGAGAGAGAGAGGGAGGAGGCAGAGGGAGAAGGGAGAATGAAGGAAATAGGGAGGTGGGAGTGTCCTATTTGCTCTGGTGTGTGTTTACAATAGAATTCAAGGTGCAAAATTCAGATAAAAGCTTGTCATCCACAAGTCTGTTTTTCTTGTATAGAATGAATGCTGTCAGAAGAAGATGGGATATGAGACTTAGGTTTCTGGAGAATTGTAAATCATGCTATCTCTCTGTAAGATGAGGAATCCAAATACCTCTGCCTGACACATTATACAAAGTCATATAAAGTCATGACTCCGATACTTCTTACTCTTCTCCTCATTGAGGAGAAGGCAAATGCACATTGTAATGAAGAAGATAGAGCTCTTGCTGAGGGCTGCTTTTTCTGGAAAGTTCATTTGCTGAAACTACATCATGAATAGTAACCAAGTAAGAAGTCTTGTTTCATGTAACCATATTGGAAAGCTGAGTGTTAGCTCTGGGCAGCCAATTGAGGCTCTGTATTCATGGGTTTTGTTTGGAATGTACATAAGGTTTAAGCACAGATTTGACTGATCTGAGCCTGATGAAGGTCAGGTTGCCCGTTCTGTGTCCCTGTTCTAACCTGTTTGATTACTCAGAGTGGTCTTCTCTCCCCTTTGCCTCTGCAGGCAGTGATGGCCAGTGACTTTGCCATTTCTCAGTTCAGACATCTCAGCAAGCTCCTTCTTGTCCATGGGCACTGGTGTTACACGCGACTTTCCAACATGATTCTCTATTTTTTCTACAAAAATGTGGTATGTGACTCCAGAGAATTCATCCCTACCCCTTTCCAATCATGGTTGCATAAAGGATGGAGAGGAAGTGTCCTGCACTTAGCTGACTTTGCCTTGATGTGTGGAAGCAGCCAGGAGCACTCCTGCTGTCTTTCCAGAAATAATTGGAGAATGTGCTATGTTTCAGCTACTGACAGCAAATTGCTAGCCTTGTCCATCTGCTAGAATTTTCTACTCCCTATGCATTTAAATTCAATTAAGTCCTGTCTGGTTCATTTAAAATCCAGTTCTTGACCTTCCATAAAAAGGCTGTGACAAGCAAAATTATGAAATGTTTAACACTGCCCATCAGTAGGGAATGAAAACGTTTGCTTCTGATTTACAGGAGATACCAAGAAGCGTTTGCTGTCCCCAAATTGATATTCCTTGTGGTTTACTGCAGACACAGACACAGATGAAAACCAGTATCGTGGCTTAGCCTGTAGCTGCTAGCACTCACAGATGCAAGAATTCTCTAGCAAGCCTAGACAGTGTATTTGTGCTTGATACTTATTTGATGGGAAACAACTTTGTTAGGATTATATAATCCCTAAAAGGCAGAATTTGATTAAAATTCTGACTCTATCTGGTGCAACCTTTGAACACCGTTTAAGGTTCAGTTTCCTCTTTTATAAAATCTTGTTGAACTTAGATTGCTTCACGTAAGTCTCTTCTTCCCTGGTGGCACAATGGTTACATGCTCGGATGCTAAGCAAAAGGTTGGTGGTTCAAACTCACCAGTAGCTTTGATGGAAAGGAGACCTGATGATCTGTTCCTGTAAAGATACAGCCTAGGAAACCCTATGGGGCAGTTCTACTCTGTCATAAAGGGTTGCTATGAGTCAGAATTGACTTGATGGCATACAGCAACAGTGAAATGCTATATTTATAGAAAAAAGTTTAAATGGATCATTTTAGTATACTCCACATGTGTAATTTAGATCTGTGTGTATGTCTGTCAGTAGGATCATTTTTTCCTGCAGCACAATGGAAGCGCTCAGTGTTCAATCACGGTTATATACAGGATAAGGAGAAAGTGTCCTACACTAAGCTGACTAAATACTAGTCAGACTTAGTTATTTATTCAGACTTTAATAAAACTCAGACACTGTAAGAAAATATTTTAAATTCTTAAAGTCTCTTCCTGAGTGTGTGATTCTGGGTGTAGTGAATTTGAGGGAATTTGGGGCTGATCAAGAAAAAAGATAGGACCACAAGATAGCAAGATAGCATTGCACAAACTATTTATGGGGGCTGGGGCATTGACAGCCACATGCAGGAGGTGGTCCCCCACAGCAGGAGGACTCCCAGTGCAGGAGGCCACCAGAAAGAGAAGAGGTCATGAAAAATCCTAGGGAAGAAGAAAAAGAAGGGGGAGCTTACATGTGACTTGATAAGGTCCTCCTGCAGCAAGCTAGGGAGTCCCTGGGTCAGAGAAGTCCAAAGGACAGACGCAGCTAGGGGTCCTTATAACTACAGGGTTGTATCCTATCTAGGGATAGCAGATGTTGGGCGCAGTTTTGCTGGGTGTGTAAAGCAGACAAGCTGTAAGAGACTAAAAATCTGCTTACTTGGGGTATTTTTAAAACAATTGGGTATGTACAAATTTGAGTTTGGGGCTGGTGGGCTTTTTGGGCTAATCGGCCTCAGCTTGCTTTGAAGAAGTAAACAACCTGGGGCCAATACACAGAGGTCATTTTTGATTCACTTATATAATATTGAAGAAAGGTATGACTTGTAATTTAAAATTCCAGAACTTAGTAGCCAATGACTTCTACAGAGGAGTACCCCCCCCCCAGGTTTTTTGTTTTTTTTTTAATACCTTTGCATTTTTCTACCTTGTCCTCACTCTGCCGCAACCCCACCCCATCTCCACCATCCCTAGATTAAACCTAAGGGTTAAGAAATCTAATACTAGAAAGAAATGCTACTTGCTCTTAGAAAGAGAGGGAGTATTCCTTTGTAGAGAGAACATCATCAGGGAGTAAGGACCCCTGTTGGTTTCTGCTCTGTAATCCATCATACCAGTATCCTCCAGACTTAATTTCTACATCTTGTTTATCTAGCCAAACAAGGAGTGTTGTATTGAATGTGGAGAAAGGGCTGGTACAAGGAGCCGTTAGAATCACTTATCTTACTAAGACCATGGTTTTTGGGCCATGGACAACTTTTGAGATACTGATGAAGACTATGGATTCACTCCCCAGAATTGTGCCCAAACCACATGCACCTAAAAATGATACATTTCCAGGAGCTTGGTATATTGTGTGTCCATCATGTAGTCTATTCTAAGGACTGTAGCCGTGTCATAAGGTGTTCTAGTAAATCTGTAACACTAATGATAATAGTATTTTAACATTTGCAAGGTACTTTGTATTTTACAAAAATCCATATCCATTGCCATTGAGTCAGTTCCAACCCATGGTGGCCCACGTGTACAAGAGTAGAACTGCACTCCATAAGATTTCCCATGGCAGTAATCTTTTGGAAGTAGATCACCAGTCCTTTCTTCTGCAGTGTCACTGGGTGGGTTCCAACCAGCCAACCTTTTGGTTAGTAGCCAAGCACAAACCGTTTGTGCCACCCAGGGACCTGATACAGGTTATGGTCACTCCCTGACTTGATGTTGTTACTAAACCCTGAATCTGTAATTCTCATTTAACAGGTCAGGAAACTAAAATTCAGAGAAATTAAGAAAATGGCCTAAAGTCACACAATCAGTAAGAAGTACCCCCAGGCCTTGAAACCAAACCCCCTAAATCTAAGTCCATTGTCCTTTCCTATGGCTTGCCTCATTTGCCTGACACAAAATACTATAGGATGTTTTGACCTAGCCTCTAGGGTAACCAGTTGTGCTGGTTTGCCTGGGGCTGTCCCAGTTTTGGCATTGAGAGCCCCACATCCTGGGAATCCCCTAAGTTCCAGGCAAACTGGGCCAATTGGTTACCCTAGCGGCCCCATCCCACTTCATCACCAGAAAGTAATTATGGACCCAGAAAGCAGAAGAACGAGCATTTGTTTGGTGCTTGTGCTTGTGCTTGTGCTTGCTAGGCACTGGACTAGGTACTCTTCATCTAGAGCTGAAACATCTCAGTTTGAGTACTGGCTCTGCCACTTACTATCTGGGTAACTTTGGCCACATTCCTTAGCCTCTCTGTGCTTCAGTTTTTTCATCTATAAAATGGGAACAATAATAATTTCCAAGTTGTTCTGAAGCACTTCGAACAGTACCTAGCACCATATAGTAAGAGGTGTGTGTGTGTGTGTTTTGATTTAATAAAACATTTACCAAGAAAAACTGCAAAGTAGGTTGTGGTCTCTCATTTTATAAGTGAGGAGACTGAATTTGAGAGAGGCCAAGATCACACGGCTAAAAATGGCATGTAGGAATGTGTGGTCATAGCGTGGGCTGCTGTTACTAAGACCTGAATGTTCCTGTTTGTATCCCTAGGCCTATGTGAACCTCCTTTTCTGGTACCAGTTCTTCTGTGGGTTTTCAGGAACATCCATGACTGACTATTGGGTTTTGATCTTCTTCAACCTACTCTTCACCTCTGCCCCTCCCATCATTTATGGTGTTTTGGAGAAAGACGTGTCTGCAGAGACACTCATGCAGCTGCCTGAACTTTACACGAGTGGTCAGAAGTCAGAGGTAGGTGCTGGAACACATCCTTAGACTGATCCGCGTTCATTGTCAATGCCAGTGTGTTTTCCAGTCACCCCACCCAAATATGGCTGTACATGAAGAATTATTTTAAACTATTTGAAATGTCTAGTCATTTAAAAAGATTTCTACTAGCCTTGCAGATAGTAAGTTCTTTTCCCTGAGGTGAATACAGATAAAATGATAAAATACCTTAGATACTTACAAGAAGGAATCCAGTTTCTGAGACCTTGCGATGAATGATAGCTAGCATTTACTAAACCCCTGTTCCATCATTTGTGCTAACTACTAAATATATCCTGTCTTATTTATCCTCAGAAAAATCCTTTGAGATAGAACCTAGTATTATCCGCATTCTAAGACAGAGAATCTGAGCCTCAAAGAAGTTAAGTAGTTTTTCCAAAAATGTCACAGCTAAAAAGTGGGTAGGGCCAGGATGTGAACCCATCCCCCTCTGGTTCCAAAGCCAAAGTTAAATTTTTCAAGTTCTATTGTCATTCATTCAAAAAGGCAGTAGTGTTTCAGCAATGGAATTCTCACCTTCCATGTGGGAGACCTGGGTTCCCTTCCCAGCCAATGCACCTCACGTGTAGCCATCACCCATCTGTCAATGGAGGATTGCATGTTGCAATGATGCTGAACAGGTTTCAGTGGAGCTTCCAGACTAAGACAGACTAGGAAGACAGGCCTGGAGATCTACTTCCAAAACTCATCCAATGAAAACCCTATGGATCACAATAGCCTGATCTCACTGTGCATGGGGTTGCCATGAGTCGGGGGCATACGTGATGGTTCACCAACAACTGTCATTCAAACCACAGAGTGATCTTAACCACTCCCTCTCCCCACAACCATGCCTGCCTCCACTTAGTTGGTCTCTTAGGCCTCTCAGTGTACCTCTGGTATATCATTTACATTTGCCCCGCCTCGCCCCTTTCCACCCTTCTGCCACTGCCCTTATTGTCTCTTAGCTAGACTGTTGTTGTGGCTGATTAACAGGGATATCTCAAAACTCTTCTTTCTAATGTATCTTTCACAAAATTAATAGTAACCAACAGTAGTGCTGGCACATTGTGGGGAATGAAACCAATGTCATGGAACACTTTATATACATACAGACTATCGACTGGAAAGCTAATTTGCTTTGTAAACTTTCACCTAATACACAATAAAAATTTTTAAAAAATTAATAGTAACCAACTCTAATGTAGAACATTTGTGTAATGCCTACTATGTGCTAGACACTGTTGTAAGTGCTTAACATGCATAAATCTAATCCTCAGAACAACCCTACAAGCTAAGTACTATCAGTACATCCACTTAGCAGATGAGGAAAGTCAGGCACAGGGAGTTAGTTACAATAAGTAGTCGCCAGTGTCACAGAGCTAGTGAGTGGTACAGTCCACCAGGCTCCAGTGTCCATGCTGTCTACCATTCTGCCATGCTATAGAAAGACCTGTTATGCTATCTTTATACCTTAGGTTCCTCACTTTGCTCTTTCATGGCCAGAAGTCCAAAGTGGTATCACAAGTACATTATCAGGATCACAGGCCTGAGATGGTCAGGGGGCCTATAGACACTTAAAAGTGGACAAAGCTGAGTGGGTCAGTTGAGCAGATGTTCCAGTCTTGAGAACAGGACTCTGTCAGGTCCCTTTCATTTGCGAGTGACAGAGAACCCA